TTCAAATAGCCCTTGATCTCCTCTCTTACCTTCCATTTTCTAAATTGGGGGCTTGATGAGAAATGAGATTTTTTCATTATTTCCATTGTTATTTTTTTGCTTACTTCCATCTGTAATACACCTTTTCTTTCATGGACCATGAAATGATATCAGTTTGTTTTGAGCTGTTATCACCCCTCTGATTACTTATACTGATATATACATATATACAGTATATATATCTTTTAAAGGTATCTTTTACTGAAACCGTAATTAAGTACGGCTTCAGCATACCTCTTGACCAGTTCCCAACAGTTCTTCATTTTAGCATGGAGAGGACGCCTTTTTAGAAAGCCAAAGGCCACATACGAAAGGATCAGATTGCGATGTAGCTGCTGGGTATAGTTAATGTCTGATGCTGGCCAACCTCCTCATTTGGATAAAAATTGCCCCAATTCATTTGAGAGTCTGAGGAAAAAGAAATAGATACTGCCCACCACATCACTCCATCCACCAAGGTTAGCAGACTGGCTGACCAAACCGGACAGGCCATCGGGCATACACAGCTATGACTTCTTGTACTTGAGCCCCTGAACCGATCACACCAGTAACCTCTCTCTCTACCCAATGGTAGGGCTAGCCCCACTTGCAGTTTGGAAGTCTTGATGAGAAATCGTCAGAAGTTACTTTACCTCAGACTGTTAGAAAAGGCTTCAATGCCGTATTTGGATATAGGATAACCTCCTCCAATGAACGACAGTCTTCCCAGCATACTGGACATGTTGACGACGCTCCCTTTGGCCTTCCTTAAAAAGGGCAGCATGTGAAGCGTTACATCAATTAACCCAAGCAGGTTGACATCCAGCACTGATACAAAGTCCTTCTTGGTCAGCCACTCGTTGGAAGCTGTTGGGTTAGCAGTACCTGCACTGTTTATCAGTCCCCAAAGTCCTGTGGAATCAGAGGAGATAAGACTGTTTCAACTTCACTTGCTTATCTTTGCAGATTCGCATCCATGCATCCATGCATCCATGCCAGCATGCATCTGTCCATCCATCCATCCATCCATCCATCCAT